GGCAATACCTCTTTGATCTTCCCACGTGAAATGGTTCTCTTCCAGCCTCTTACAGTCTTACCCTTTGAGTATTTATATCCTCTAGTGAAAGTAATTATTAGTCTTTAATATCATGGTCACTAACAGATACACAGAAACTGACAGATTGACAGACTCATGTTTAAAATTATTCTTAGTGAGAGAGAGACAGGCGGACACAAACAGATAACAAGACAGACAAAGAGACAAACTTATCAGTATTCTCTAAGGCTGCAGTGTTTTGTAACCAGTGTGTCGCAGAACTGACGCTGGTGAGCTGCGGTAAATTCCTGAGAGAAATAAAACGGTTATCATACTCTCTTTAAGGTCAATGAACTGTACTGTATATTGTGGTGTACAGCTTGTCGTGGTCTGGAGGTACAGTAGCTAAAACAACTATCTGTGCATACTTTGTGGGAAACAATATGAGACCATGGACGATAAATTTTGGTATATGATGGCTGTCACTAGTCAAACGTAAAATTTTGGAGCATATCGACTCCCACCTACACAGATAGTTGTTTTAGCTACTGTACACCATTGTCCATTACTGTACTGTATATCTGCCTAAGAAACAGTTCCCTAAAGGAGACATTCCCTTCGTCTCCACCAGCGGGTTGAATGGAGTGAGTGTATGAGAGGAACAAACTCTTAATCAAAGACTCTTTAGTTAATGGCAATATAATGTCCTTGTCAGATCTGGAGAGGTGATGCTTTGATGTGCTGTGGAGGCTGTGGTGTGTGAGGGGTAGTGTGGTTTGGAGGGTGAGTGTTGTGATGACGAATGGAACTGTCCGCCAGGGTGGCAGGAAGCGCTGCTGTGTCTCGGCTTTTTCACGGCCACTACTGAATAACCTTCCTCTTTCGGCAGTGCTCCAACTCCTAGGCCCATTAATCAGACTCACGTTCTGAAATAACGGCTGTGATTAACAGCCCAGGATATGTAGACACTCCTTGCTATCTCAGGCTTATAGTGACATTTAATGCAAACACTGAGAAAGCATCCAAGGAAAACTATTCTTTATACTGTACAAATTAGGGGTATTACTTTACTTTAGGACATTGCGCTCCCGAAAGTTGTAAACTACTGAAACATTTAGATCTACCTATTCTGATCATTTTGAACACCATTTATACCAGGCGGATATGGGTAATAGCGACGCAATTTAATTTAATTGATTTTACGTAGTTTTCAGTCTTCGTCTGTGAGGAGAGGTTAGCGGTGCATCTCACATGCAATATTGACTGACATTATCATCAGGTGAATTCTTTCGACCAATCACATTTGACTTATTATTTTTTTAAAGGAAGCAGCCTGGATTTGACCAGTCTCACAATGGCCGTGGTGGAAGTTGGTTGTTATTTGTACTCCTACGATTATTTTAAGTTTATTGCTGAGTTTTACGAGAAAGACGATCATTCTATCCAATTCTTACGTATCCCTGGTCTTTCACTTCTAATTAAGGTATTGTACTTTCGGACATGGCGCACCCCAAAGTTTCAAACTACTGAAACATTTCGGTTAGTTTAAGCTAGGCCTACCGGGGATTCGGGGGCCTGAGCCCCCGGTTAGGGGTTAGGTTTTGTTTGGATAGATGACTCGTTTTCTTTTCCTCCCCCACCCAAAAACTCCCCCATTATTGTTTTGGGGAGGGGGCAAAAACGAGCAATTTCCGCCAAAAATGAAGGTCAGGTTCGTTTAAAACACACCAAAATACACTGGAAAAAAATATTGGTCAACCCCTAGGGACTCCTGTCCTAAAGTAAAAATTTACCAAATTGGGTTAGGACTGAGAAATACTAATTTATACAGTAACAATTAACAACCATTATATTTACAATAAAACAAGAGTACAGACATTGACATTGCATGGCTTTGTGACCCAACTGATTTAGTAAATTATAAATCTTAATCTCACAATAAGGCTCTTCCTCCACTCACAGAAATATCACTTAGTATTCACCCTAAATGCTGCTGAATAAATTAATAACAAAATGCAGGATATATAATGGATGAAACAAGATTACAATCACTGTCCTGATCTAACATCTACACCCTGAATTCAACCCTGGAGGAGAGTGTCTCTCCAATGTAAACAAACAATACATATTTTCCAACTAGAATAATAACTCAAAACTCCTTTGTATAAGTATTGTATGAGTACATAATATTATATGATTACAAAATTTTAAAAATTACATTGAACCAATATAATTCACATTAAATACACAAAGTAAACTAATTTCAAATGACATGAGATATTTCATAGAAAACCAAACTGCTCTTACAATGGTGACTGATATAACAGAACATATGGTATGTAAATGCATAGCCATATGTAGCAACTTTGTACAGATGGTCTCGTCCAAGCATCCTCGTATGTGTAGCTGTACTTTGGATCCATTTAAGTTCACCAGCTTTCATGACTTACATATTCCATTAGTTTCTTAGAAGCGATGTTATCTGGATCACTATGCAAGAGCCTCAGGGCTCTCATGAGGTTGACTTCAATTATTCTATTTGACACTGGATTCCGTTCCGGAAAACTGCAACGTGAACGGAATCGATTTTCCCCATAAGAAATAGATAAAATACGGGGGTTACGTTCCTGAGCCTCACTTTGCCCCATGAAATACATTACATATACAGAAATTCAATGACATTTTCATAGGGAAAAAAATTATATATATGTATATATATATATATATATATATATGCATGCAAATCAATCACTGTAGGTGCGCGTGATCCAGGTATATGCTGATAACCACAAGGAAAGAAGAAAACACGAAGTTCCCAGCGCTTTCGTGTAATTCACATCTTCACAATCAACACCTCAACCCGCCAGGATTCGAACCCACGACCCACGGCGGTTAGCGTTCCCCGGTCACAGTCATGGGCTCGTGGGCCGTGGGTTCGAATCCTAGCGGGTTGAGGTGTTGATTATATATATATATATATATATATATATATATATATATATATATATATATATATATATATATATATATATAATTTTGTATTGTACTCACTGATAAGAACATAAGAACATAAGAAAATAATGAGTCTGCAATAGGGCGGCTGGCCTGTGCATGGCAGCTCCTGTCGAGAGTTACTACCACTCTCTATCATCCATGAATCTATCTAGCCTCCTTTTGAAACTTTCCAGAGTTCTCGCACTTACTACAAAGTTGCTAAGCTTGTTCCACTCGTCCACCACCCTATTTGTGAACCAGTTTCTTCCTATCTCCTCCTAAACCTAAGCTTATCCAACTTGAATCCGTTGCTCCGAGTCCTATCCTGGTCGGATATTATAAGAACTTTATCTATATCCCCTTTATTGATTCCTTTCACCCACTTAAATACTTCTATCATATCTCCCCGCACTCTTCGTCTTTCTAGGGAATGCAAGTTAAGTTTCTTTAACCTATCCTGATATGGAAGGTTTCTAAGTCCCGGAATCATTTTTGTCATTCTTCGCTGCACCGACTCCAGTGAATTTATATCCATTCTATAATAGGGGCACCAGAACTGAACCGCATAATCGAGGTGCGGCCTGACTAGCGCAAGATATAGTTGCAATAAGACCTCTGCCCTCTTGTCACTTACACTTCTAGATATAAAACCCAATACTCTGTTTGCCTTATTTCGAACATTAACGCACTGTTTTCTAGGCCGTAGGTCTGGGCTTACAAGTACCCCTAGGTCTCTTTCACAAGTCGACTTCTCTAGGTTGATGTTGTTAAGGCTGTATACATTGTCAGTTCTTGTTCTTCCAATATTTAGTACGCTGCACTTGCTGGTGTTGAATTTCATTTGCCATTTTTCAGACCACCCCTGCAGTTTATTTAGATCCTCCTGTAATGCATTTGCATCCTGCCCTGAATTTATCTGCCGCCCTATTTTGGTGTCATCCGCAAACTTGCTTATGTCACTGCTGATCCCAGTATCTAGATCGTTTATGTAGATTATGAAGTGGGGAACCCCACTGGTTACACGGCCCCACTCGGATTTAACACCATCTACGCTGACCCTCTGCGTTCTATCGGTGAGCCATGATTTTATCCAATTTAAAACTTTCCCCTCGATACCATGAGCCTTAATTTTTCTCAGAAGCCTCTGATGCGGTACTCTGTCAAATGCTTTGCTAAAGTCTAAGTAAATAACATCGCAATTTTCGTCATTATCTACTACCTCGAAGACTTTCCTAAAAAACGTCAGCAGATTTGTTAGACAAGATTTGGGCAGAGGTAGTGGAGCGAGATATTTAAGAGGACACTTAGTCAATGGTGTTGTTACCTATCTTAAGCTTTGTTGGTTCACCTTTGTGGTTACCAGCTTGTTTGTTGAATACTTTAGTTTTCTCAGTGGTGATGATGAGACCAAGGTTCTCGCAGGATGACTGTACCTGGTTCAGGGTGGTTTGCATTTCACGGTGCCATCAGCTTAGCTAACAGTAATATTGCTGGGGATTGACTTAAATAGTGCACTCATAAGAATATTGAACAAAGTGGGCCTTAGTGCTCCACCTTGAAGGGTCCCAAGTTGCATATCTCCGACTTCAATTTTGTAACCTTGAAACAGTGCAGCAGCCCTTCTGTTGTGAGGTCACCACTTGTCCAGTGTAAAAGACGACCTTTTATATCCATTTGGTCTAATTATTAGAATATAAGTTACCTATTGGCAATCAAATACAGTTTTTAGGTCAAGAAATGTGGTGTTTCTGTGCCTTTCATCCCCATGCACAGTTAAGACTGTGGTGATGCAATTAGGTACACTTTTACCATGGGTGTTGCTCTATATGTTAGGAGACTTGTGTTCTCTCTGTTTCTGTATGAGTCTGCCAAGAAACATCTTCTCAAAAGTTTTGCTAGGGTGTGAGCTCATATCGATGAGCGTGGGTTCAGCTCTGTGGCCGCAGCTGGTCCTGCTGCTAGATCATTTCTCTCTCACTAATACTGATAATTTTCACAGCACGGGTGCCGTTATTCCAGTCCTCTCAACCAAACTGTTAATAAACCATCTTCAAGTTCACGTAAGGAGCCAGCTACCAGGACTGCACTGCCGGATGCCTCGGGGATCTCTTCACGACTTGCCTCGTCAACTTCAGGTGAGAACACTGCACTGGAGTGGAGTAAAGCTATTGTTTCTGGTGAGAGGACTAGTATATTTTGCTGTTAATGTAAACAACCTGGTCATGTCAGAGCCAACTATAAAGTGTTGGCCATTAAACGCTATTCCTTTGGCCAAGGCAGACCTGTTCTCTATTTCGGTTTTGTCCCTAATACATTGGAATTATATTATCTCCATGCCTGTGACAAACTTGATTCAGTGCACACACATTCTGGAGTTGCTCTTCCTAACGTACCACCTTCATTTAGACCATTTTGTTCGAAAGGTCTCCTAACTCAAACGAAATCAGTCCAGCCCTCTTTCTCTGTTATTGCTTTACGGGACACCGGTTCTGATTTATCTTGTATTCTTAAGAGTGCTGTTCCCAACTTTGATTGTTATATAGGTGAGATGGTGATCTTATCAGGTTTACCTAGAACTGCTAGATATCCCATGTGTAACGTTTATCTTAACGTGCTTTTGTCTCTAATTATGTGACCTTAGCAGTAGTCGACAGTCCGCCAGTCGCTGGTATCTCAGTCTTGGCCGGAAACCAAATGTCACCTTGCCCTGTAGTCACCAAATCCACTTGTGAAAATAACACTCTGGAGTTAGAAAGTGAACTTCCTAAACTTTTCCTACTAGTGCAATCACTAGTAGTATGAGCCGTAATGTGCCGGAGACCCGCATAACTTGACCAAGTGACATCTCAATTATTTTAATTACTTTTATAATGCTAATTACTCGCCGCCTATAGTTTTCGAGGTCACTTTTTGGTGTTTGTGTTATTCTGGCTGTACATTCCTCGCCATTGCATTATGCGCGAGGTGGCCGACGGGAAGTGATCTTTGCTGAAGTGTCTCACACCCTTGCACACCAGCCAGCTGGGGCTAAGGCAGGCGTTGTATGTCTGACAGCAAAGGGAGACTCGAGGACAAGTCAGTCAGGAATCAAACGTTCACCGGTTGCCTGCATAGATTTTGTGAACGAAGATTTATGAGTTTTACACCACCCACCCTGACATTGCCTCTATTTATTGCCACAATGCCCGTTGTTTCTTCGCTTTTTTTACCCCACCGTCGCCTTCCACACCCCTCCCTCGACCCTGCACACCCCACCGTCGCCCTCCACTCCCCACCGTCGCCCTCCACACCCTTCCTCAACCCTCCACACCCCACCGTCACCTCCACACCCCACCGTCGCCCTCCACACCCTATCGTCGCCCTCCACACCTCCCTCGACCTCCACAACCCACCGTCGCCCTCCACACCCCACCATCGCCCTCAACACCACTCCCTCCACACCTCGTCGCCCTCCACACCCTCGCCCTCCACACCCTACCCTCCCACAAACTCACACCGCCCCCCCAAAACTCACACCGTCCTCCACACCCCATGCTCACCCTCCACACCACCACCAATACTAACTTCTATCCCCAGAAATAGCCTAATGGGTTACTGGTTTGGAAGAATGGCCCTATGAGTCACTATAACCGAGAGATTTATAAACGGCTTCTTACTTCCCCTGCTAACGACACAACACCGCTCACCCCTCGTTAATCACCCCCCCCGCGTGCTGCTGGACCGATCTTGCCCACACTTGTTTCTCATCGTTTACACCTGCCTGCATAATCAGCATCGGAACAAAACTGCATATACATAGCACAAGGCCTTTACTGAGGGCATTTCATCGTTGTAGCTCCTTTAACACAAACGTCATGCTGTAAGGTATCGGAGTAATGTATTCATGAAACTCTTTAAGATACACGACGAAGAGATACAGAGTTTATAAGAGATTCAACACAAAAGAAAATTCAGACCGATACGGAACCAACCAAAATGGATGAATAATAGACTCTTAGATCTTCTAGGGAAAAAGAAAGGAGTATATAGAAAAGTTAAGAAAGGCGAAAATCACTTACTTGGTTACTATCAGAACCTAACAAGACAGGTAAAAACAGAAATTAGGAAAGCAAAGAGAAATTATGAAATCAAGGTAGCAAACGAATCGAAAAATAACCCCAAAGCTTTTTATCAACTGTATAAATCAAAGGTTAGAGATACAATAGGTCCCTTAAAACTACGACAGGAGAAATGACTGATGATGAGTTAGAAATGTGTAGTACGTTAAATAGTCATTTTCGCTCCGTATTCACAAATGAAAACCTAGCACAGTTTCCAGAAGTTCATAGGTATATAACGACAGTATAGAAAATATGTTGATGAATATCAATATTACTAGTAACGATGTGCTTAAAGTAATTAACAAACTGAAGCCTCATAAATCGCCTGGTCAGACGAGGTATATGCTAGAATATTAAAAGAATGTAGAGATGAGTTGAGTAATCCATTAGCAGTTTTATTTAATAAGTCATTAGAATCGGGCCTAGTGCCGGAAACTTGCAAATGTAGTTCCGATTTTCAAAAAGGGTGATAAATCAATAGCATCAAATTACCGTCCCATTAGTCTCACGTCAATCATAGGCAAGTTGCTAGAGTCAATTATTGCTACAAAATCAGAAGCCACCTTGAAACATTCAACTTAATTCATTCTTCTCAGCAGGGTTCACCCAGGACGTTCTTGTCTCACAAATTTGCTTAGCTTTTTCTCAGAAGTATATGAAGCGGTAGATAATGATAAGTCATATGATATAATTTATTTAGATTTCAGTAAAGCATTCGATAGAGTCCTCATGAGAGATTGATAAGGAAGGTAGAAGCACATGGAATAGGTGGATCAGTATTAAAATGGATTAGGTCATGGTTAACTGGTAGGAAACAAAGAGTCAGCATAAATGGATTAAAGTCAGACTGGGGTGCGGTCAAAAGCGGAGTTCCCAGGGATCTATTAGAGCCCTCTGCTGTTTGTTATATTCATTAATGATCTTGATTTAGGCATAACTAGTAGGATTAGTAAATTTGCAGATGATACCAAAATGGGGAGAGTGATAAATTCAGACAGTGACTTTGAACACCTTCAAAGAGATCTAGATACTTACATGAGTGGTCAGTAGACTGGCAAATGAATTTTAATACTGATAAATGCAGGTACTACAGATAGGAAGACGAATACAAACGTTTAAGTATAAACTAGGTAACACGAAATAGAAAACTCAGTTTGTGAAAAAAGATCTAGGTGTATTTGTTAGCAACGACTTGAAACCTAGAAAACAATGTATTAGCGTTCGCAACAAGGCAAACAGGATTCTTGGGTTCATATCTAGGTCTGTGAGTAACAGAACTGCTGACGTTATCTTGAAACTTTACCTAGCATTAGTGAGGCCACACATGGATTATGCGGTTCAGTTCTGTGTCCTTATTATAGAATGGACATAGATTCTTTGGAGAGTAAAGAAGAATGACAAAATGATCCATAATATTAGAAACCTTCCATATGAAGAAAGACTGAAAAGCTTAGGCTTACATTCATTAGAGAGAGTTAGGGGAGATATGATAGAGGTGTACAAGTGGGTAAGTGGGATTAACAAGGGTAAAATGGAAGATGTTCTGAAGCTCAGTAATAACGAAATAACTAGAACAAATGGCTTTAAATTAGATAAATTCCGATTCAGAAAGGATATAGGCAAGCACTGGTTTGGTAATAGAGTTGTGGATATGTGGAATAGGCTACCGAGTGCTATAGTAGGATCGGGGACGCTAGGGAGCTTCAAGACGGGGACGCTAGGGAGCTTCAAGACGAAGTTGGATAGGCACATGGAAGTGCTGGGATGGGTGTGAAAGGGATCTGCCCTGTATGGGCCAGTCGGCCTCCTGCAGTATCCCACTTTCTTATGTTCTTATGTTCTTATGTTATATAATACAGTATTTTGGGATTCTCTCACGGGTTCATAACGTTCATTTGGCTAAGTAAATGATCAAGAGAAAGAGCTACTGGTTAAAGTAAAGTCTCAGGTGCAGTTTTGTCGCCATTTTTTATATCATTTCTCTCTTTATGATCATGGTAAAGTCAGTTAAGGTGTATTGTTGTTCTTGCAGTAACAGTTGTGGATGATTTTTCCTATTATACTTTTTGAATCTGGGAGTTAAGGAATGTTGTCGTGGTTTCTCTTGCACCACTATCACTCTGCCTTAAGTGTGTGAAGGCAGAGTGGAGGTCGTGTCAAGTGTGTATAGGCAGTGTGGTGGTAGTGTTTGTCAAGGGTTGATGGTTATTCCTCATTTCATAATTAACTATCATGGACTTTTTCTGTTATATTTTATGTTCGCTCTCTAGCTCCTATGTTTAATTCCAACTGTTATTACATGTCCATCCTTATATGAATCATAGCATTTGTTCCTCGTCAATTTATTGCATTATAGTGATTATGTAGTATTTTGAGGTAGGCGCTGGGGGGAATAATCATGACATATATCTGGTTAGCGGGTGGTACAGGGATGGTTCGTCGGCTTGTTTCATCGACACGGGGTTCACTTGAAAATCCGTACACCTTGCATTATTCTCCATTTTAATAAGTTATCTTCCAGCTCTGCCTTAGATCCATAGTACAATTGTATTTAGGTTATCTGATCACACAATTTTGGCACCTTGTCCTATTTTTTATTTGTGTATCAGATTAGCCACGGGAGTTTATTTGATTCCTGGGGTACAGCAGACGACTGAAAGGCCGGGGACATTTGCTCTCCACTCGTGTAGGTGTCTGGTGGTCACTGTTGGCAAGGTTAGTCTTTTTCTTCCTAGGATAGTTTTAGAGGTGAGAGATTTAAGTATTATTTCTCCCACGTAGGCAGGAGTGTACAAAAGTGTTTAATGTGTGACTTATGTATATATTTAGATTATTATTGTGTGTTCTACATATCTCCTTACACTAACAGCCGCTTCTTTATCAAGTATGTCCTCGTTTTAACATGCTTGTAATCCAGTAAATTTGCAGTTTCAGTCCCAACTACTGTTCGACCATAAATTTTTGTTTTTCCCTTGGCTGACAGTGTATTGGAGGATAGCGGAGGATTGCTGACAATGCAGTGGAGGATAGCGGAGGATGGCTGAGTGCAGTGGAGGATAACGGAGGATGGCAGACAGTGCAGCGGAGGATGGCTGACAGTGCGGTGGAGGGCTGATCATACTTAGGTGTTGAGTCATAATGAAGGTAATAGCACTGTAGAGGCTTATGTTATGGTATGGTGTTGAGGAGTGGTGTGGTGGGTGAGGAGTGGTGTGGTGTGGTGGGTGAGGAGTGGTGTGGTGTGCAGGGTGAGTGGTGGTATGATGTGAAGGGTGAAAGATGGTGTGATCTGAAGGGTGAGGAGTGGTGTGGAGGGTGAGAGGTCTGAGAAGTAGTGTGAAGGATGAATTGAAATTGAATTTTTGGCGCGGACAGCAGCTAGTATATTGTGCACTCTGTGAGCGGGAGAGCAAAAAGGATTACAGAGTAGAGGTCACAAAGGGTGTTTATCAGACCCCAGTGATTTTGATATTACGGCATTGAATGTTAAGAGTATTTCTAGTACATTGTTTGTTTAAGTCGGTCCACAGAATTTTGACTAGGTACTACAGTAGATGCGAAGTGTGGATACAGCCTTAGTACATCAGCTATTTTGTCATCAGAGATAAAGTGCTGTGCCACTGCATACACACACAGTATGCTTGGATCAATCCCTATAAGGTTCTATTTTTTTCACAGTCTATGACATAGTGTTGGAGTGTGTGGCCATATGTCTGGCCGATGGCAACCTGTGGTGTAATGGTCAGCATGCTCGCCTCGCAGGCTAGCGGACCCGAGTTCGATCCCCGGGCAGGGCGAAACAAATGGGCGGTAAGTTTTTTTGCGCCATTTGGCCTCTATCTACCCGGCAGAGGACCTGGATGTTAATCGATTTGCGGATCGTGTTCCGGGGTAATGGTTAGCCAGTGCAGTTTGCGAGTTGTCCGGTCTTCTCGGACTATTCCTTGACTCTGGGTCATGCAGTTCGTTAACTTAGGGTGTGGTCGTTGTGTTGGCGACAGCTTCTACATTTTGAACAGATTCACGCCTAGGTGGCCCTAGGGCCGGCCATACTCGTTACACGAAGGGCAACCATTATTATTATTATGTTTGGCCGCACACATTACCTCTATCATGTTCACTGATGCCTATGGGAGAGGGGATCCACAACAGCTTTATCCTGATACCCCCGTCAATGAGACATGTGTGCTTGTGTCTGGCTTCCGATACAAGCTGGTGACAATCTGAATTGAGGGTTTCAAGAGCCAGTAGTGAGGATAATGCGTTAGTGGTGATGAGACTGTCAGTGGCAGTGACTTCAACAAGTTTCAGGGCTGTGAGTATGACAAATAGTTCAGTTTGTAGAGTGATGCCCAGTCACTACTTCTAGCTCCTTTATTACATTAACGTTAGGCCGAGTCACAATAACAGCACTTCCACCTCTCCCACAGACAGCGTTAAGAGAGCCGTCAATGTACAGTAGATGATCTGTAGCTTATTTATGTGTTCAAGAGCTCTCATTTTGGCAGTGTGTTGGAGATAAGGATTATGTGTGGTCAGTACGTGGGTGTTGTGATGTAGAAGGGAACTGTCCGCTCGGGTGGCAGGAAGCGCTGCTGTCTCAAGCTTTGTACAAATGGTCTATTTTAAACATCCTCATATGTGTAGCTGTAGTTTGGATCCATTTAGATTCACCAGTTTCATTACTCATTATATTCTAGCAGTTTCTTAGAAGCAATGTTATCTGGCTCACCACGCAAAAGCCTCAGGGCTATCATGAGGTTGACCTCAATTATTCTATCTTTGACACTGAGCATACCCAGTTCTTTCCACATATTAAGTACTTTAGTGCTCATGGGACAGCCTAAAATAATCCTAAGGGCTTTATTTTTCATTTTTTCGAGCTTGTCAATGCCTTTTCCGTCACGACGGACCAGGGCTGGTGCGTGGTAATCTATCAGACATCTCATATAACCTAGGTACATTGGCTTGCCAATTCTATTATTACCGCCATAATGTGGGTTGTACCCCGCTACACAGTTAAGGGTTTTTTAACCTATCGGTACATGACGGGTTGGCTGTTGTATGGCAGGTGAGGTAAAGGTGATAGAGACCCCGAGATATATAAAAGAAGAGACATAATCAATGGTGTTGTTACTTATCTTAAGCTTTGATGATCCACGTTTACGGTTACCAGTTTGTTTGTTGAATACTTTAGTTTTCTCAGTGGAGATGAGACCAAGGTTCTCGCAGGATGAATGTACATGGTTCAGGGTGGTTTGCATTTCACAATCAATTTTAGTATGTGTAAAGTGTCATCTGCATAGCAAACAGGGGCTGTCTGCCGATCATTTCTCTCACTAATACTGATAATTTTCACAGCACGGGTGCCGTTATTCCAGTCCTCTCAATCGAAGTCTGTCAATAAACCATCTTCAAGTTCATGGAAGGAGCCAGCTACCAGGACTGCACTGTCGGATGCCTCTGGGATTTCTTTACCACCTGCCACTTCAGCTTCGGTTGAGAACACTGCACTGGAGTGGAGTAAAGCTCTTGTTTCTGATGCGAGGACTAGTGTATTTTGCCGTTATTGTAAACAACCTGCTCATGTCAGAGCCAACTGTAGAAAGTAAGCCATTAAACGCAATTCCTTTGGCCAAGGCAGACTGCTCTCCATTTCGATGTTGTCCCTAATAAAGTGAATTATTTAACCACCATTCCAGTGACAAACTTGATTGTGCTCACGCATTTGGAGTTGCCCCCACCTCCACTCCACACCTTTCCACCTCCACGCCACACTCTCCACCTCCACGCCACACTCTCCACCTCCACGCCACACCCTCCACCTCCACGCCACACCCTCCACCTCCACCTCACCCCCACCACTCCACACCACACCACACCACACCACACTTTCCCCTATAACCCAGTCCCCAATCTTGACACCCTAGATCCTAATCTCTCACCCTCCACACCCGACCGTCCTCCCCACCCACTCTCCCTCTCCTTCCACCCCTTTTCCTCTCCCTCCACCCCTCCTCCTCTTCTTCCACCTCCTCTCCCTCTCCATCCACCCCCTCTCCCTCTCCATCCACCCCCTTTCCCTCTCCCCCCTCTCACTTTCCATCCACTCCTCTTCCATTACCCTTCTCTTCCACCCTCCCCTCCTCTACCCCTCCCTCTCTCCTCCCCTCCTCCCCTCTCCTTCCCTCGTTTCCCTTTCCTTCCATTCCTCTCCCATTACCCCTCTCTTCCACACCTCCCCTCTACCTCCACCCCTACCCCTCTCCTTCCACCTCAGTTCCCTTTCCTTCCACCACTCTCCTCTCCTTCCACCCTCTCCCTCTCCTTCCAGCCTCTCCCTTCACCCCTCTCAGTCCACCCCTCCTCCTCTCCCTCCACCCCTCCCCTCTCCTTCTGTCCCTCCCCTCCAGACTTCCTCAACCACCCCCTCTCCGTCTCCTTCCACCCCCTCTGCCTCCCCTCCCACCTCCTCTCCCCACTCCCCTCTCCCTCTTCCCTCTCCCTCTACCCCTTCCCTCTCCTCCCTCCTCCTCTCCATTTCCTTCCAGCCCCTCTTTCTCCCCCTCTCTCCCTCCCTCCCCCTCCACCCCCTCTTCCCCTACCCTCTTCCTATCCTTCACCCCTCTCCCTGTCCTTCCACCCTTCTCCTTCTCCTTTCACCCCCTCTCTCTCCCTCCTCCTCTCTTTTTCCTTCTACCCCTCCCCTCTCCCCATCCCCTCCGTCCACCTCCTCTCTCTTTCGCTCCACCTTCCCCTCTCCTTCCACCTACTCTCCCCTCATTCAACCCCCCTCTACGTCCACCTCCTCCCCACTCCTTCCCACCCCTCCTCTTCCTATCCCTCCACCCTCCTCTACTTCCCACCTCCCCCCTCTCCTTCCTCCTCCTCTCCCTCCCTCCCACTCCCCGACTCCCTCCCCTCCCTGACTCCCTCCCCCTCTCCTCTCCCCTCCTCCACCTCCCCTCCCTTCCCTCCCCACCCCTCCCCTCCCTTCCCTCTTCCCTTCACCCCTTCTCTCTCTCCACCCCTTCCCCTCTCCCTCCACCCCTTCCCTTCCCTCCCCTCTCCCCTCCCTCCCCCTTCTCCTTCCACCTCCCTCTTTTCCTTCCCCCCCTCTCCTCTTCTTCCCATCTCCCCCTCTCCTCCAGCCCCTCCACCTCTCCTTCCCCTTCCCCCTCCTTCTCCCCTCCCCTCTACTTCACCTTCTTCCTCCCTTCCACCCCTCTCCCTCCACCCCTTCCCTCTCCCTCCACCCCTTCCCTCTCTTTCCCACCTCCCCCTCTCCTTCCCCTTTCTCTCCCTCCCCCTTCCCCTCCCCCCCCTTCCCTCTCCTTCCACCCCCTCTCCTTCCACCCCTCCCCTCTCATTCCACCCCTCCCCTCTCCTTACCCCTCCCCTATCCTTCCACCTCCCTCTCCCTTTCAACCTCTTCCTTTCCTTCCCCCTTCTCTCTCCCTCCACCCCTTCCCCTCTCCCTCCACCCCTTCCCTTCTCCTTCACCCCTTCCCTTCCTTCCTCCCATGTCCCTCCACCCCTCTCTCTCCTCTCCTTCCACCTCCTCCTTTCCTTTCACCCTTCTCCCTCCTTCTCCCTCCTTCCCCCCCTCTCCTTCCACCCCTTCTCCCTCTCTTTCCACCCCAACCCTCTCCTTCATCCCTTCTCCCTCTCCTTCCACCCCTCCCCCTCTCCTTCCACCCTTTCTCTCCCTCTCCACAGGCCCCATCTCCCTCCACCTCCTCTCCCTCTTTTTCCACCTCCCCTCCACCTGTATCTGTGTCTCCAGTCAGCGTTAGGCTGCCTAGGATCTTTTTTTTTTTAGGGTTTGGAATTCCTCATCCAGGATGTGCCGAACCTAGGACAAGAGAGCCGGTCCTGAACTTGGGTAGCCGTTTTTTATCCTTTTGAGCTGGGGTCAGGAGGCTTCTTCCAAGAGCTAAATGGCTTTTGGACCAGCAAGCTTGTTTGTCCAGTGGTTCCAGAGTCAGGATCCTCTTGAGGGAGAACCCTGGTCCTCTGACCTGGCATCAGCCAGGTTCAGGGACTCCCCTTTTTCTTATCTTTGCCCTCCTCCTCTATCAACTGGAATGGACTTTGTGAAGTCCAACGTGAACAAATGGAAAATTGGATAAAAAATAATTTTCTGTATATGTATTTTAATGGTTATGAACATAATGGTATTGTATTGTTTTCTTCAGTCATCTATAGTCACTTACCGATGTAATTTGCTTTGATGCCTTCAGCAAGAAAACTCTTTAAACATAAGTAAAACATGTAACCATAGCTCGAACAATGGTAAATAATCTTTGTTATTGAATCCCAAGTTAGTGTGATAACTTACTGTACTGTACAACGCCATAGGCTATTTTATTTGTGTGAATATAACCTTGCTACAATAAGATAAACCCACTGTTTTATTTCTATACCACTTTCATTATATATATATATATATATATATATATATATATATATATATATATATATATATATATATATATATATATATATATATATATATATATATATATAATTTCTTTTCAGAAAAAGTAGATCATGGGAAACGGAAAATTTCTATAGAAAATGGGAAATATCTACTTTCCGGGAAAATAGATTATCGACTTTCGGGAATAGATTATCGATTTTGGGGAAATATTACCTAAATTTTCAGTAGATTATCATAGAAAACGGAAATTTACATTATTACAGAAAAACGGGAAATTTACATCATAGAAAATGGGAAATATCTACTTCATGAAAGTTGGTTACTTTTCCTTTAAAGTAGATTATCTACTTCGGGGAAAGTAGATTATCGTGACTTTTCGTAGTTAGATTATCGATTTTGTAATATTACCTTACTCTTCCGGAAGCAGATTGATTGGTAGAAAAACGGAAATTTGCATCATAGAAATGGAAACATTCACTTTCCGCGAAAGTTGGTTTATTCGCCTTTCCTTAGGCAGATTATCTACTTTTTCGGAAAGTAGATTATCGGCTTTTCTCGAAGTAGATTATCGATTTTTGGGGAATATTACCAAATTTTCCGAAGTAGATTATCACAGAAAACGAAATTGCATCAGAAATGGGAAATACTCACTTTCCATGAAAGTTGGTTGAGTTCACTTCTCGAAAAGTGATTATCTACTTTCGAAAGCAGATTATCGACTTTCGTAAAGCAGATCATCGATTTTTGTGAAATATTACCAAATTTCCTGCTAAGATTATCATAAGAAAACGTGAAATTTGCATCATAAGAATGAAATATTCACTTCTTTGTTGGTTTTCCTGAAAGCAGATTGATTCACTTTCGTGTTGGTGATTATCGACCTTTTCGTAGCAGATTATCGATTTTGTGAAAATATCACCAATTTTGCGATCATCACAGAAAACGAAATTTGTAATCATAGCCCACTTTGATTATCTACTTTTCGAAAATAGATTATCGGCTTTTCAGTTTAGATTATCGTTTTTGGGGAAATATTACCAAATTTTCCGAAGCAGATTATCGAGAAAACGAAATTTACACAGAAAATGGGAAATATTTACTTCTTCCGTTAAAGTTGTTGTTTTACTTTTCTCTTGAAAGCAGATTATTCATTTTTTAAGCAGATTACGGTTTTTCGTAGTGATTATCGATTTTCAAAGAATATTACCAAATTTTCCTTTAAAGTTAAGATTATCATAAGAAAACGTAAAATTTGCATCATAGTATTTAGAATATTCACTCGCTTAAAGTTGATATTCACTTTCCGGTGCTGGTATTTATTCACTTTTCGAAAGCAGATCATCGACCTTTCGTAGCTTAGATTATCGATTTTGGGGAAAATACATTTTACCAAATTTTCCCAAGCAGATTATCAGAAAAACGGGGAAAATTTGCATCATAGAAATGGAAACATCTACTTCCATGAAAGTTATATTCATTTTAGTGCTAGATTATTCACTTTTCGGGAGCAGATCATCGACTTTGTAGCTAGATTATCGATTTTGTAGGCCACTCACCTCCCGAAGCAGATTACTCCAGAAACCAAAATTTGCATCATAGTAATGGGAACATTCACTTCTCTCATGAAAGTTTCTCTCGAAAGATTCACTTCTAAGCAGATTACTCTTTCAAAGCAGATTATCGATTTTGTAGTACACACTAATTTCCCGAAGTAGATTATCACAGAAAACGAAATTTCCACTGGCAGAAAAAATGGGAAATATCTACTTTCCAAGAAGTTGTTGATTCATTTTCCCGAAAAGCAGATTATTCATTTCGGGGAAAAAATAGATTATTTATTTTTCGGGAAGTACTATCGATTTTTGGGGAAATATTACCTAAATTTTCCAAGTAGATTATCATAGAAAACGGAAATTTACATCATAGAAAATGGGGAAATATCTACTTTCCATGAAGTTATCATCCACCTATGCCAGATCATCTACAGATCAGATCTGATCTTTGCAACACACCCAAGCTCCTCCCAAGCAGACCTGTCGATTTTTGTTTTATTTTTCGAAGAGATTATCGGTAAACGGGAATTTGATTCATAGAAAATGAAATATTCTATTTTCGGGAAAGTTATATCCCGTTTTCATGATAATTCACTTCGAAAATTAGGTAATATTTCAAAAATCGATAATTCACGTCTCTTTGTGCCGATAAAGAATTCACTTTCCTGAAAAGTAGATAATCTACTTTTTCGAAAGTAGATAACTGAATCTCTTTCGCGGAAAGTAGATATTTCATTTTCTATTATGCAATTTCCCCACTTATGATAATTCACTTCGAAAATTATGGTATTATTTTCCCTAATCGATATTCTCCACTTCGAAG